TTTAAAGTATTAAATGTTGTTTAATAACAAAACAAATTACAGATTCTACCTAAAAACTGCGAATTTATTAAGCATAATTAATCCGTCATTAGCAAATGTTTACTGTAGCACAACATTATCAAATGATGGTGTAATTAGGCTTAAAAGATTCGTCTCGTAATTTATACGCAATCTGTGTAATTAGTTTTTTTTTTCATATTTAATACTTTATGCATGTGTCCAAACATTCGATGTGACAGGGTGAAAAATTTTTGTTTGGGAACTAAACAGGCCTGATGTAGTGTCAATGCAATTGTTTTTTTTTTCATCAGCTTAATTTTTTAAACATGAACTAGTTGGTGCATTCAACTAAATAGTGTAATTTGTAGAAATTCTCACATATTAATTAGCATCATGGTGAAAAGATGCCGATGCCCTTTATTGCTCATTGCTCTTGTACGTGATTGCATTGGTAGACGCATCCAAAACTATATATGCAATTGCATTTGGTAACATATTAACGGTAGTTTCTCATTTTGGATCTTTACAGAGGAGGATAAAGCTAGCTCAATGGGAAAAAAAAAGGAACATGATATACTCATATACACACATCCAAATCAAAACCCTTTTTTTAATAAAAGGTGCGTTTTGGTGGGGGCGAAATGCATGTTGCCTTTGGCTACCAGGTTTAGCTAGCTAGCTTCTCTTCCATCTGGCCATACATGGGAGACCATCAAAACTCTATGATTGCTAAAGGGGATTATGAGGATGACAACATCATGCTTTTTCCACTAAGGACCCATATATTCTACTATATGTACTCCTACCTATATATCTTTGGTTTGTGAATGGTCCTTTAATTGCATGGGCCAGATCTTACTAAGCAAAAAAGAAAACACACTCATGATCATTTCCATATTGCTAGCCATGCACCGTACCCTGCCTGAAATCTAATTCATCAGCACGCAGTTCAAAGCAACATGTCCTTTAGTTTTGTTCGTTCTCAGCTCTTCCTCTTTTTTTAAATCCATGGAGCAAGGACATAATTACCGTGTTTTTTTTTAAGTCAATGCACTTAAGTTTCAAAGACATTTTGTTCATTTGTTGTGTTGTCACCTAAGCAAACTAAGCTCGGTTGAGTCATTTGTGAGCTTTGACCGCATTAGTTTAAGCCTTGGCAATGCAAGCACACGGGACTACGGAAGCACGTGCAAAAGGCATGCAGGAGGCTAAGATTCTAAGGAAATACTCCCTCCATCTTATAATATAAGGGATTTTGAGTTTTTTTCTTACACTATTTGACTACTCGTTTTATTCAAAAGATTTGTGCAAATATAAAAAACGAAAAGTTGTATTTAGAGTATTTTGGATAATAAAGTAAGTAAAAAAAATAAATAATATTTTTAAATTTTTTTAATAAGACGAATGGTCAAACAATACAAGTAAAAACTCAAAATCCTTTATATTATAGGATGGAGGGAGTAATCGCTTAGATTGTACTCCTCTCGTCGGCTTAACCACGCTGCAAAATCCAAGAGCAAAACGCAGATATCGTGGAGGCTTCATCTCTGTGCTTAATTAGAAAAAAAATAGCAGATCAATTAATTAGCTGGAAATAATTAATATTTGTCCAGATGGAGATAAGGATCAGAGATGTTAAGCAAGTAGCTCGAGTGATGCAATTAAGATTATGATTCCTTCGAACACACTCATGTTTGTCATGTGTGGGGATAAGCACCACGCAAAGGTTTCTTGTTTGTTAGTTAATTAGTTTTTCATAAGTCGGCCCAAAGCTAAAGCTTGCACGACTTCAGTGGCGTATTGGGTTCTTCGATTAAGTTAATCAGAAGTCGTCAGTACTGTACAGATCAAGATGAAGAGGTCACTACTACATGTCTACATGCTGTATTTTTTCTTTTGGTTACAAGCATGTTCTCCAATTAATTTCTTCAGAGTTCAGATGTTGGTGCCTGCTGATTGTTCTCGCTGTATATCGCTGTTACTTAATTAACTAATCTGTTTTTTCAGGCAACTCAAGTATTAATAGTCTATTGAAGATGCATGCATCATGTTGACAGTTAACCCATACGCCTGCTGCTGCTGGTAGCAGTAGGCAACATGCGAAGAAGCAACTTCTGAATTTTCTGATGTGCCAACTTGTGTATATATATTGAACAGGCAATTACACACTAGATAATTAAGCATCATGTCAGTATTTGATTAGTGCTAAGCTACAAGTAGAACCAGTGTGAGAGTATGGAAGGTTCCCATTTTGAAATGCCAATAGGTTTCACAGGCTTTCAGGCTTTCAGCTGCATTACTCCCAAGGAAAACACAGCAAGAAAACAACGGTTTGGTCACATAACCTAACTTGCAAGTGACTACTACTCCACTGACAGTAGTGCTGTTCTACTCCTAAACCAAGGCCATGCTTATAGGAAGCATCCACACTAGTCAAGGAGAGCATCCTAGGGGCTAGCTAGGGTTTACTACATGTTTTTGAGAGACCCAAAGAGAGACCAATATTGCTTGGGAAGTCATCAACTACAATTAACTAACTACTGCAGCTACCCTGGTTAATAACAAGGAGTAATACTACAGTAATTAGTAACAAAACATTGGTACCTTTGCCTTGCATTGCTTGCCTTGGGTTCTGAACTCTTCTGAAGCAGGAGCAGCAGAAAGGCAAGAGGGCAATAGGCATGGGCACACACACCAGACAGGTAGTAGTAGCAGTAAACCAATACAGTGCTGAATTGCTGAAGCATTGGTCCACAGAAGGAGTAGTGGTGGCTTTGAGATTCTCACAAATTGCAGGTGACGTAAACGCTGGCCCATCCGTGTCTAGAGACGCCTCGGAATTCGTGCTCGGGGAGGCATGGACTGTCAGTGGGATTCCTGATCTCTCCATCACTGGATGGTAGCTAAGCTACAGTGTGGCTGCACCGTGTAGTTAAGTACATTGGTCGGGTTAAAGCCTAAACTAATCCAGAGGGTTAGATCTAATAGGAGTACTAATCTTGCAGGAGCAGACGAGTTAAGAAGTAATAGTGGTACTTGCTGTCCTTGCTGTCTGATGGATGTGTCTGATCTGGAGCAAACACCACACTTGTCCTGGCTGCTCATCAAGTCAAACGGTTGCAGCAGCTCAAAGCATGCACCACCACCATGATTTGTTTAAGAGGGGAGTAAACTGGTCAGGTTTTGGAATGGAATCTCGCAGTTTTTTTTAAAATTATTAACCAGCCGTTGCTGTGTGCGTTATGGGCAAAAACACTACTACTCCTGTTTGTCTTGCTACATGGGCAGCATGTCTGCAGAATCTTCACTGCACAATCAGAGATGCACTATGTAAATAATAAGGTTGATTCAATGTTTTGTTTTTCTTTAGCTGGATGCACTGCTACTATAACAATACACCTTGGGAATTTTTTTTAAAAAAGGAAGAAAAAACACCTTGGGATGTACGGTATCTCGGAAGGATCTTTTTTTTTCACTTAAACAACTAGTGTCTACAATTTTTCCAAAGAGTGGAAATGATATATTCCTACGGAAACGGTTATTGGTTGGTCAGGATTCGAGAAGTTTTCATATCTATGAATTTAACTATTTAGTGACGACTCTAATATGATGTTGACATAATTTAGAGAAAAGTATTTAAAAATCGATACTCGATCAGTCGAGAATTTTCTTTCCACCATTTCCATCCCTATTTTACACACACTCAAAAGTCAAAACGAAGCCCTGTCCTGAATTTGTCTGTTCAACAAAGCGGGCCGTGGCCCATGCCTCGAGATTCCAGCCCAGTCATGAAAACGTGGGCTATAACACGATTACCTAAATGGGCCAGATTTGTCCAATGAAGCCTGATGAGCCCAAAAGGTCCCGGCCCATTAACATTAATCTGCGGCGATTTTGCTATATATTTGTCGACAAATTTTTCCCCAGAAATTTGACAGATGTAATTACACTACAATCGTAGTGTAATTACACTGTAACTATAGTGTAACTTGTATGTAACTTTCAAAAATCTCTCCGTAACATGTTATTTCGGTAAAATGGAGGTCGTGGGAAAAAATTCTTTCACATATGTGTGTGCTATGATGTGTTTTCTTCCTCACCAAAACAAATCTTGTAATAGATCTAATGATTCAAAATTATGTGAAACTTACATATAAGTTACACTGTAGTTACATGCAATTTACAGTGTAATTACATATAAGTTACAGTGTAATTACACCATGATTGTACTATAATTACATCTGTTAAATTTTTGGGAAAAAATTTGTTGACAAATGTATAGGTAGTCCCATCTGCGGAGGCCGCCACCGCCGTCCTCCGTCCACCAAACGGATTGGGAATGCGGATTGGATGCGTGTTAGAGCAAGTACAATAGCAGACTATTAGCCAGCTATAAACATATTTTAATGAGATAAAAGATGAGAGAGAAGAGCAGTGGGCTACAAATATGTAGCCAGCTACAGCACGGACTCCAAGACGCAATGTGTGTATGACAAGTGGGACCATGTATTAATAATATAGTAAGCAACTATTGTATGAATTGGCTATAAAATTGGCTATAGATGAATTGGAGCAAGTAGTAGGCTATGCTATTAAACTTGCTCTTAGGGAATTGAGAGAGCGTTTTTGAACAACGTATGATCTGTTCGCACATGTTTTGAGCAAATTGAACTGATTGTAGCTTGGGTGTGTTTAGTTCACGCCAAAATTAGAAGTTTGGTTGAAATTGAAACGATGTGATAGAAAAGTTGGAAGTTTGTGTAATTGTGTATGTAGAAAAGTTTTGATGTGATGGAAAAGTTAGAAGTTTGAAGAAAAAGTTTGGAACTAAGCTCGGCCTTTATGCATAAGAGAGAGAGAGAGAGATTTATGCATGAGAGAGAGAGAGAGAGAGAAAGAGAGAGAGAGAGAGAAGTTCAAATGGTTCCAAAGCATTCAATCTGTAGAGTAACCTTTTTGAGCATGGACCGCTAGCCTGACTCTAGGTTTGCAATGAGAAATGGCATGAGAGCGTCAGGCAGGTGAGAGGCTTATATATATTGGGTAGAAATGAAATTAATATATCCACTAATACATGAAGCCCCAAAATAAAATTTGGGTGCTTAGTAGAGCCAAGCAAACCGAATTCTGCACGGTTAATTTCAGGCTATTCTTACAAGCTTACTACGTGATGGGGTTCTTGCTCTGCATCAAAATTCTGCGCCTATAGCACAAGCACGGTTGTTGCATCGGACACTGGATGCAAATCTGTCACTTGACGCTTTGCTCCTCAGCAGCGGCAGAGAGCTTGTACTTGAGGTAGGCTCTGATGAAGGTGTCCAGCTCGCCGTCCATGACGCCGGTGATGTCCGACGTCTCGCAGGCGGTGCGGACGTCCTTGACGAGCTTGTAGGGGTGGAAGACGTAGTTGCGGATCTGCTGCCCCCACTCCGCCTTCACCGCGTCGCCGCGGATCTGCTTGATCTCCGACGCCCGCTGCTCCTCGGCGATCACCAGCAGCTTCGCCTTCAGCCGGCTCAGGGCCTTTATCTTGTTGGCCAACTGGCTCCTCTCCTCTGCGAGGTTTCGCAAGGAAAAGATGTGGAAAATTACTCATGTAGCTACAGTTCTTGATGCAAAATTGCAAATACATTTCAATGGCAAATTCTCAGGTACACAGTTAAGTCATGGTGTTTATGTGATAAAACTGAATTTAGCTGCACATTTAACTATGGTCACAACGAGGGATTATGAGGCTTCAATCATTTGGAGGATGTCTTGCTCAGTTCTTTACTTTACTTCAACGATTACCAATTTCACTTTTTCTTTTTTGGGTCTTTTGATGACCACATCATATCAAACTAAGATTGGGGGTCTTACCCAAACATGACAAAACTACCTATTTATGCAACATATGTGAAGGCATAGAGCCAAGAATTAGCAGATATTCAGATCCACAGCCCTAACGAAGATATGACACATCATGCAAGCTGCACTGACTGTCTTTGAGTACAAACCTGTGCAACGAACAGCGATGCCCGTGGGTATATGGACCATGCGAACAGCCGTCTCCACCTTGTTCACATTCTGGCCTCCTTTGCCGCCTGCTCTAGTGAAGCTTATCTCCAGATCCTCTTCGGGTATTTCTACATCCATGGACTCTTCTGGCAGTAGAGGCATTACTTCAACACCAGCAAAGCTTGTCTAAAGAAATTAGCACATTGAACAGAAAACTGAGCATGAGTAGATGTCTTTTCCTTTCAAAGTTGCGAGAATATGTATATGAATCGCAAAAGAGGAACTGAAAAACTACACATACCTGCCTAAGCCCTTTAGCATTGAATGGGGACTGACGAACAATTCTGTGTGTCCCTTTCTCCCCAGAGAGATACCCATAGGCATATCTTCCTTCTAATTCAATGGTAGCTGATTTTATTCCAGCTTCTTCACCAGGGGATTTCTCAACCACTCTTGTCTTGTACCGCTGCTTCTCTCCCCACCTAACATACATCCTCAGTAACATGTCAGCCCAATCCTACAAATATAAGCCATTAAAAAAATTATAATCACAACTTGCTCTTCTACAATATGTTTTTTCTCCAGAAAAACACGAAACATCATCTATCGCCATTCTTATATGAGATAAACTCATGTAAGTTGAACTGCACATCTTTAGAATTACATATACTACTACATATATAAAGTTTGCGTTAAATCCTGACACCTGGAAATCCAGTTATGTACACTATGGATTAATAATCATCAAGAAGGTCATTATCATATCATACATTCACATTTGCACTAGTTTTCTAGCTGATGTTAGGTCGTCTTTTACAGTAACAGATAGAAATAGGACATGTATGAAAAAGTTATGACAGTGGTACATATTTGGTACTAGAAGTATAATATCGACAATAATAAAAGCTAAATTTTCTACAAGCACAACAAGACTAAATGAACAAGTCATAAGATCCTAGAAAACTAAGACAAAAATCATCTTTCCTACATTGTGAGCTAAGAAGGAAGCATGAGAATTAGTGAAAGCATACCTGGGCATCGGTGCCACCAGCACCTGCAGTAATATTAATCACAGCACCTTCCTTGTCATAAGGTCCAGAAAGAAGCTGTGTCATCTCAAAGTTATCTAGTGCTTTGTTTAATGCCTTTATGATCTTTGAGGCTTCTTCAAGAAGGCCAGTATCTATGGAATCTAACTCCTCAGTAAGCTTTACAATGGTCTCAGCTTCTTCAACCTGTAAATAACAATGGAAAGGACACAATTAAGAACTAGTGTTGGTAACCAATTAATTCCAGAAGTCATGTTCTTCAACCAAAATGGATAGCCTCTGTCAATTCTCAGCTGTAGTATGGATATATGCAGCAAATCTGTACTCCCTCCGTCCCCAAAAAAAAAAAAAAAACCTAGGTGAGGATTACACACCACCTAGGACAACAAATATGGACAGTGGTATTAAATCCCCACCTAGATTGGTTTCTTTTTGGGACGGAGGGGGTACATATTTTTATTAGTTATCATTACTTGTATTTATGAACGCGGCAAATCCACATTATAATAATGAGAATTACTAATTTACTACAGGAGGTGTTAAACAATCATTTCAATATATATAGCTATAGTATAATAACAATTAGAATTCTACATCATTCTGTATCATCTCTAGTATGGGATGAAGAAGAATATCAAGTTGGTTAAACCTGCAACTTCAAATCGTTGAGAAGCTTGACTCTGTCTTTGACCTCTGTCAGAGCAACAAGTATCTCCTGTGCCTTGGAAGGATCATCCCACAAGGAACTATCTGCAGATTTCTTCTCGAGCGAAGCGATTTCCTCCTCAAGCTGATCCAAACCAGCAGACTGCCTGACTTCACTGACGCGCGCTACAGCCAGCTCGACATCCTTCCGCAAAGCGTAGAAATCTGTCACCAACTTCTAAGCATAAGGATCAAAACCCTGGCATTCATGGTCTCATGGGCTGAAAGAAACACAATCTGCTATCCTGATTTGAGAATGTGGTGGGGAAATTGGTTACCCTGCATGGCCCATTCGGTAGCCTCCGAACTTTCTGCAACGCTTGATTGGCTTCCTGACCCAGAGGATGCAGATTGCACTGTGTTGACCCAAGTCTGTCAATGTTTCATCCAGAGGATAAGATAACTAAAGCATAAAATGAAACCATTTTTTCCCTATTCAAGCTAGCATCTCTTCCAATTGTCGAGTTCGCACACAATGCAAAACAAGAAATTCTTGCATTATGCATAGTACTCCATAGCTAACATCAAGTATGGTACGAGTAGTTTAATCGCAAAAAAAAAAAAAGGAAAAAAAACCTGCAATACTTGCACGAGTACAAGGAAAGTAAGAACCGAAGCTCACCAGGAACGGAGGACCTGCGGCGGTGGCTGACACGGCAATATACGGGTACGGGAGGGACTCCGGCGGTGCAGACCCTCCGGTGAGCGGCGGAGCTGGGGTACGGAGAGGCGCGCGCGGCCGCCAGGAGCAGCCGCGGGCAGTCAATCATTGCCGCACTTCGGCTACAGGACATGGAGCGGGAGTGGGCGAAGATGGCCACCGGTAGGCGACGCGCCGACGAGGGTGTGGGGCTGGGGCGGCGGCGGCGGCTCGCCGGCGAGCGGAGCGGGGCGGAGAGGAGGCGAGGCGGGAGTAGAAGCGAGCGACTGGCGAAGGGGATGATGGAGGTAGCCGGGAAGGGGATGATAAGGATCGGACGGTGGAGATTAATCAGTAATAACAATATAATTGCCAAAAAAAATGTAAGAGAAAAATATTTAGGGACAGTACAACCTTAAATTTACTTTTAAAAAATCAACAGTCCATGATAAATTTTAATCTTAAAGACCATTTTAAACTCAGTTTGGTAGTTTGATAGGTTCTTCAAGACTCAACTTCGTCAATAAAGCGCTACCGACTAAAATTATAAAGCAATGTAACCAATGGTTGAAATAGATGAATTATGGGTATGCTGGTCAAGGTCTTGGTTGCTCATATTTCATAGAAGTTGAAATGAATAGCACATGAACCAAAACTGAAGGACAAATTGGTTCTACAAAATTTTGTCGAAGTGACAATCTTGCCGCAAATACAATCTGAACGCAAGTTCTGCACGGTTGTTAAGTACTGCACACATAGGATAGCCCACAGATGGCTTTCCTCATCGTCACACCACGATTTCTGTAACTGACCTACCAAGCAGCAGATATTCCAACTGAAGAATCGAGATATTAAGAACCTGCAAGCCGAAAAGATTCCAGCAATACCACAAAAATCGTTCTTCCTCTCTCACGTGTCACTGTGTTCATGCTCTCACGTGTGGATGTGTCAACACAATCTCAGAGGCAACAATCCAGGGTTCAAAACAAATACGAAACACTCCAGAACAAATATGAAACACTCCAGCAATTAGAGAGAAATGGAGCAAAATTCAGTGTGTTTAGGGACAGTACGACTGGTAGCTATCTCCAGAAAGGAGTAACAGCGCAATCTGACTCGAAGAAGGTTCAGCACATAAACTTTGGGTGTTACATTCAAAACTCAAGACAGATAAAATTTCAGCATCTAATAGCTACTAATGCGAACGGGAGCAAGCAATCCTGCTGCTACAAACAGCATGGTCTGGCTTTGATGCTTAAACCTCCTGGACAGTCAAACCTGAAGAAAGAAATTCACAATCATTGAGTTAGCAATGATGATCAATTGAACAAAAAGAAATTTTGTACTGAATGAACAGCAGAACAGTAATGCATAGATACATAGTGCAAAACGTGTATAATTTCTGGATGAACAGCTTATGGTCCAAGGATATCTGGAAGGCATGAAATTAGCTGGTCTTGTAGGCTGCATCATTTTTTTGAAAAATATACAAAACCTTAGTTGGTGCTGGCTTTGTCTGCTGGACCAGATAGACAAGTATGATGTACTTGATTAGTAGGTTGTTTTGTAGCATATTTGATCTGAAATAGAACAGGTATGCCCAGTGCTGTAATTACTTTTGCTGGTTTTCCAAAGACGAGGTAAATGATATTTTCTGCTCTGCCAAAAAATTGTCATATCTATGGCTCTGAGATAGGCAAGTTACTTATGCGCCTTGACATTTATACTGACATCAATACATGGAAATGACAATTAAAAGCTATACAAAGAGGAAGATGATTGCAACTGCGCAATCTCATCCCAGGAGAAGTTCCAGACTTGCACATATCCTACAGTAAGATTTCCATGACTATCTTGGGAGGCACTAATTGGGTATCATTGCACACAATGCAATTTCCAGACTAAATGGAAGGCCAATTTATCAACAGCTCCACCTGATTAGCATGCTAGACCAAACTAAATTCACAAAGAACATGCATAACCATTCCATACCACATTCTTTTTAAATCCTAAAGCATGAAAGGATTTAACGATTCGTTCCAACAAAACACGTGATTTCGCACACAGCAGCGGACGTTTCCTTACTTAAGAACAGCATCAATAAAAATGAAAGGAAGAGAATACACAGGCAGTGGATAACGGAATACGGACCCGGGGGAAGCGACTGCTTGAGCTTGTTGGCCTTGTCGGCGTCGAAGACGCAGAGGGTGTAGAGGTACTTGGAGCAGCGCACCTTGAACTTGACGGCGTCCTTGGTCCTCTTGATCCGCACCGACCTCGCGTCCTTCCTCCTCGCCGTCAGGAGGAAGTCCTTGATCTCGTGGATCTGCTTCGGCTGCGTTGCCAAGGTAGCAACAACACAAACCAAAACAACAACGGGGTCAATCGCACCGCACCGCGCATCCGCCGCTAGCCCAGGCGTAGCCATCGCCGCGGGGAAGAGAGGAGAGGAGAAGAACTCACCATGGTGGAAGGCGCTGCTGCTCGCTGCCGAAGAGAGTTGAGTTGAGGAGGCTGCGGCGGCGCAGGTGGAGAAGACGATCGAGGAGGCGAGCGAGACGGGAACCCTACTTGCTTTATATGGGAGGGGTGGGGGAGCAAGCAAACATACTACCCTCGGGCCCATTAATCCAGACGGCCCAGTATGACCTAGGCCGCCGGCCCATGAGGGAAAATAGTGTCCCCGTTTTAATTTTTTCATTATTTTTTTATAAATTTCAATTCAAACAAATTTCCTCAAACCATACTGGAAGTTACCCCTACCATGGCTAGGGTTTACCAAACTGTTTGAGGTGGCGGGGCTGGGGTTACCGCCACCCGACGGTTTGGCGGTTACTGCTAACCGTGCGGTTATCGCGAGATATACCGTAGTTTCAACCATGGGACTTGGCAGACCCATGGATAGTCTTAGTTGGTTTACATTGCTATTGAAAAAAAAAAGATCAATTCATTTAGTAGACTCTGAGGCTGGCATGTGCGGTCCTCCCGCTTCCAGACTACAGAATTATGAGTATAGGAATGCGATTAAAAATGTTAAATCTGATCTAGCATCCTCTTTTAGGACCAATCAAATCAGGTATGTGGGCACAAAGCCATATTAAACTTGGAGAAGTTCACACAAAACAGGACGGTTTCGCACCCTTGAAGGCGTCAATCATGGTCGCGATATGGACTGAAACTCTGCAAGTGTCATCATAATTCATAGTACCGAGTAATATGCTCCTGAAGTCCAAATGCTATTTTTACAAAATAACCAACGTATCCATAGTTGGTATCTTAGACAAAAGAAACAGTAGAAGCACATCACTAGTTATTATGTTGGAAATCTACTACCCCAGTCCCCAGGTAATCCAATGGAACTCCTGCTTGAGATTGCTGTTATGCACAATAAAATTCTGCTGAAAAATTCCAACTTGTTGGCCTACAGTACTTCAAAAGGTGCATACGAAAAGCCTGCCTAAGCACTCCCTGGTAATATATCTGAAAATGAATAAAACACAACCTCAGTAGTCAGTATAACAGACTATGAGATTGTTCAATTGCTCTAGCTATGAGATATGTCTAAATGTTGAAATTCTGAAAGAACATGTGAGGACCTTTAGAAAAACTCAACACTCATAAATGCTGAAATTGTAATGTCGTTATTTTTTCCACTTACAGAAAAAAGATGACCATGATCAACTCACTGCAGGGAGCTGTATCGAAGAGCTAACTTTAACAAATTAGCAACTTCCAGTCTAGATTGAGGACTGAATAAATCAACAAAAGAAATAGCCGTTAGAACTTATAAGAAACTACAACTTCCGCAGAACACCATAACTTCATATGAAATAGTAGAGCATACTATGCACAGTGTTAGCTCACCTTCTGTTGAAAACCTAGGATTTGTTGGGAGCAACTTTAAAATGTCTTTCTGAAAATGTAGCAATTTATGCTGACAGCTGTTTGGTGGTAGTTAAAGCCAGATAGCCTTGACCTTCACTGACTTTTCCTGGAATTTTTCTCTAATTATTTGGCTTACATCTAGGTCAAAATTGTGTAAACAGAAATAAATGAGGTAAATAATTCATTTTAGTTTTCTTCAAAAAAAAAAAAAAATCCAAACCTGAAATACATTTTGTGTAAACAAACTAATCAAACCTGAACATCCATGGTTGAGGATGAACAATCTCGAAAGATTTCATAATACATTTAATAATGGAGTATAATTTAAATGTCACTGGACGGCAATACTCAAATATTTATTACAGATAATTAGAAACAAAGCCAAATGTACCAAAAAATTAAACAAAGTTATAAGTCTAATATTGCAGGATTATAAGTTATAACAAAAAATTAAACAAAGTTATAACAAAAAATTAAACAAAGTTATAAGTCTAATATTACCACACTAGGATTAATTGTTTTACTGGTTGCCAAATGGACCAAATCGCTGCCAAATATGCTCCATTAAGTCCCTTCTAAGTCGTGTATGTTTCGGTGGAGCACAAACAGAAGCATTTCTATGTAGCACTTCAGTAAAAGAATCAGCAGGCACAGTGTTGATGTCTGATAAAATAACAGCCAATGTCCCTGAAATTTCATCTGGGTCAAAACAAGCGCTGGCCATATCTTTCTCATCCTCAATTGTCATGTTGTGAAGTATAATGCAGGCTTGCATGATTTTTGCAAGAATCTCTTGTTGAAAGAAACGAGTTGGACCACGCACAATGGCAAAACGAGACTGTAGAAGTCGAAATGCTTCTTGGACGTCCTTCCTTGCTCCTTCTTGATGCCGTGCAAATATTCGATCCTTTTCGCTCTGAGGGAGGGATACTGTTTTAATGAAGACATTGCCTTCTGGGTATGTTCCATCAGCAAGATAGTAACCCGTATTGTATTGCTTCCCATTGACAGAGAATTGCACCTGAGTAACTTGGCCTTTCAACACCTCGGTAAACAACTGTTGTTGACTGATAATTTTCATCTCATTGTTGGACCCAATGACAGCAAAGAAAGCATGCCATATCCAGTGGTCATGTGAAGCAACCGCTTCAAGAATCATCGTAGCAGCACCATGATCGGTATGAGTAAGGTGACGTTTCCATTTAACTGGGCAATTTTTCCACTCCCAACGCATACAACCAGTACTTCCTAACATGCCAGGGAACCCCCGTGCCTCATTCACTTGTAGTATATGTTGCATATCCTCACTAGTGGGGCTTCGCAAATATTCTTCACCAAAATTGTCGATCACCCCTTCCACAAACCGCTCCAAACACTCTAGCTCTGTGCTCTTACCAATTTCTACGTATTTTTCATTGGCATCACCAAGGGAACCACATGCTAATATACGAATGGCTGCTGTGCATTTTTGCAAAGGTGAGAGTCCTTGACGACTGGAGGCATCTCTCCTGTTGGTGAAATAGGGAGACCATTCACCTAAGGCATGGACGATACGCAGAAAAATGGGTTTTCTCATCCGGTACCTTGCACGAAACTGTTTATCACTATAGATTGGATCTTGAGAGAAGTAATCTTTCACAAGTCGTTGATGGCCCCCTTCATGATTCCTGTTTAAAGATTTCCGTTCACCCCTTGGATGGTGAGATGTACCAGCCTTCTGAGCTTCAATCTTGGACTGAATTTTCACAGTGATCCGTTCAAGCAAATTGTCCATGATGCTTTGCTCAGAAATGAATTCTTCTATAGTGTATATGCTGGCTGGGTCGATGATGTTATCTTCAGAATCATCTGAACATGAAGGTGTGTCTGATTGCTGGGACATACCTGAAAAAGAGAAAGGCGTCTCATTTTTTCGGACGTAAGAAGGGTGACTCATATCAAATGGTACACGAACAAGTAAAATATTCTAGTGACCTCAAGTCCAAATAAAATTAAACAACAGAATTGAGCTTAGACAAAAAATTTCATATACCTCACTTATAAAATAAACTTGATAGCTAAATATGTAGGGTGAAACAGGAGGAGCTCAATGTCTGTTCTAAACTAGACTCTTACTTACATACTAATGGTAGCCACTTTGGGATCCATTATATTTGATTGTAGTTAATGAAATCTAAATGAATGGCATTGTTAATCATGAGTCTACATTCTAATCTCTAGGATTTGCTTGGTATGAAGTATGAACAACTAGCAGTCCCCCAATTTATGCTGACAAAAAAATAATTGGACGCTCACTTGCCAATTAAAACAACCTAATTTAATAGTTCCACCAAGAGATTAGTCTCACGAGATACTCCTATTAAAGGAAAAAAAAAATTACCTCCTCCGTGCGACCGTGCGGGAGGGAGAGGGATCAATTGATCGGTGAAGGCCACTGTGGGGGGAAACCGTAGGTTTGAGGGCACAGTCACACAGGAGGTCTCGGCGTCTGTTCACGGCGAGGAGGGCAATCGGCGGAGGACGCGCGCTCGACGACTGACGGAGGAGATAGGGACATAGGGTTTGGCGTTGTTGTCGGTGCAGGAGGCGGCGACGGCGGCGCAACGCTAATACCAGAGGAACCGTACACAGGGCGGAAGGAAGGAGGAGGAGGAAATGGGCGGCGGCGGCGACGGTGGCCGCTGCGAAATCGGCCGGCGGCGAGCTAGGTCCGGCGGCCGCCAACGCGATGAGTCGCGAGGGGAGAGATGAGTGTTTGTCGTGGGCCAGTGGGAGTAGGCCTTACTCTAAGCATGGGCCGAGCCTCTAATGAGTAAAGCCCAGTATTTTTTTTCGCGAAGTCGCCTTAGCCCACCAGGTAACTAAAGCTACTGGGCCGCATGTTTTGGGCTAGCCCGGACCGGGATCCTTGGTGAGTTTCACATGTAGGCCTTGTTTGGTTTAGAGCCAATTTTTGTCCTACCAAAACTTGGTAGTACCAAGGCTCCCATCGGTTGCCATTTTGCCTAAAATGGCTTATTTGGCTTATTAGAAAATTAAAATTAATTTATAAGTAAAACTTTTGTAGATTTGTTCGTAGCGACTTAAAAGCCAACATTAACAAAAATTACGTTAAAAGCATTTCAAAATCAACTTCAAAATCAAGTTCAAAAATTCAAATTTTGACTTATTCTTTAGCTGTTTAGGCCAAACGATGGGGCTGCAAAACATTGGCAAATTTTTGCACTACCAAATTTAGTAGTATTCAATTTGAACTATGGTGGGTTAAATTTGGTAGCAAACCAAATATTCACTTGCTACTATTGAAGTTGCCAAAATTTTGGTAGGGTAGTAAATTGGTATCAAACCAAATGAGCCCGTAATTCTGGTGGGAAAAGTTCAGTTGGGGTCTCTCATCTCGTCGTCGAGTTTTAAAATCGTCACTGCACCGGAATAGCTGATATAACGCATCACTAATCTTACAAAATCAGATCACATTAGATCCCAAGGCAGTATTGCTACTGGCTTTTGCTGGCGTGACAGCTGAGTTGATGTGGGACCCATATATCAGTAGCCCAATCTTCTGTCCTCTCTCTTCCCATCTCAATCCACCTACAGCTCAGCCGGCAATGGGCACAAGGGCTAGACACGCTTGCACGACGGACGCCGCACCGCTATGTTGTCGGTAATCTCGTCGGACTCGGTGGCGTTGACGAGGGGGTGACGGTGAGGCAGCTCCCAGAGTCCCAGTTGCCTCAACGCCACTATGTATCGGAAATCTCGTTGGTGGCCGAGCTGGAGGTGGATTGAGATGGGAAGAGAGGGGAAAGGATTGGTTGTGTTGGAAATTTGGTCATAATTCGGCATATTTTAATCCAAAATAACAAGATAATAAACATGATATTTACAATAGGATTTGATCCAGTGATAGTGGTGAATGTAATCAACATGAGCATGCTTAACGTTGAATAAGCATCAACAATCACATAATGACACAATGTTGACATTGCGATGAACATTAACAGTAAAACTTCTAATTGAAATAATGTAATAAGGTTATACCCCAAGAATGGTCCTCCGCTGGAGTTTGAGGCAGTATTGCCTCCGTTGGTGTTGACGGGAGTCTCCTTCTCCTTGTCTCCAGTGTTCGACATGTTGGTGAAGATGAAGTAGATGTTGACGAACAGTGAGTAGTCGCGCCTTGCGCTCCCCAAAAACCTGATCGCCCGCCCGTCTGTGCAAACGTCGCAGCAACGCGTGGTTTCGGAGGCCTACTCTCCCAACGCGTGTGCACACACTCGTCGGGATGGGATTACCGTAGCAGCAACAGCTTTTGAAAATGGATGAAAGTGTGTCTTCTTTATTTCGCGGGAGATCAAATCCATTCCCATTTTATAAGAGGAATGGAAGATGAAGAGTAAGAGTCATGGAATAGGAAGAGGAATGGAGCAACTAATTGTCATCAACTAGCCATGAACCATCCTCCACTACACAACCATCAACCAACAATCAATTAAGAGTAATTGATGTAAGTTACCAATGGAATAGGAAGAGGAATAGAGCAACTAATTGTCATCAACTAGCCATGAACCATCCTCCACTACACAACCATCAACCATCCATCAATTAGGACTAATTGATATAAGTTACCAATTCCTTAATCAAATGGATTAATTCTCAAAACTCTTCATCCCATTGATATCCCATAAAAGAATGAATTCACATGAATTCCTAGCATAATGAGCCTTGGAATTTATTTGATTTAATTGATTTAAATGGATCAATTACCCAATTAAACCTAACAATCCCCACCAAATTTTAAGGCTCATGAGAATGCTCTCTATTCCATAGCAGCTTTTATATACTAGTGTTTCGGTGAAGACTGTTAAGTTGAACTTTCACCTAGAAAAGGAGCTACACCTGACCACAACTGAACAATGGACTATGCTTTGAATTGTCAGTCTTGTGCAGTTAGGTTTCACTCAATTCCATAACTGATACTAGGCAACCATTAGTATTCCCTCGGGTTGGAGCTTATAAGTCATACTCCAGGCCTTTCATGAGTATCTAGAGATCACCCAAATCTCATAGACTGTGACTAGCAGTCGAACTCATATAGGTGTGTTCCTTCTAAGATGTTCTGCAGGTCAACATCTCTGCTTGGAAAAGCCACTCGGATCACATTAAGACATAAGCCATCCTACCATGCAGGAAAGAAGAGAAGCACATCATGAAAATGAGCCCTTTTCAAGGGTCTCTTCTCTCAGTCACACAATAGTTTGTTTCACCATCCAAATTCACGGGATCTCCGATCATAATGGACAGGTTTCCACTATTATGCAACCTTAGGTGGGTATCAAGCCCATTTCCCTCGATGCACTGTCTATCACATTACGTGGTAGCCCCTTGGTAAACTGATCTGCCATATTTCTAGCCGTTTGGACATAGTCCAATGCTATCACTCCGGAGTTTTTCTGCTTTCTGACAGATTTCAGTCTTCTCTTGATGTGTCTAGATGACTTCATGTTGTCCTTTGAACTGTTCACTTTAATAATCACTGTTTGATTATCGCAGTTCATTAGGATAGCTGGCACTGGTTTTTCAACCACCGGCAAATCCATCAGGAGTTCACGAAGCCACTCGGCCTCAACTGTCGCAGTATCTAGTGCTGTAAGTTCTGCTTCCATTGTTGACCTCGTTAAGATGGTCTGCTTGCAAGACTTCCAGGAAACAGCGCCACCTCCAAGTGTGAACACATATCCACTTGTGGCTTTTATCTCATCAGCATCAGATATCCAGTTTGAGTCACTATACCCTTCTAGTACTTTTGGATACCCGGTATAGTGAATTCCATAGCTCATAGTGCCCTTTAGATAGCGCATTACTCTTTCCAGAGCCTGCCAATGATCATCTCCCGGATTTGAGACAAACCGGCTCAGCTTGCTTACAGCAAATGAGATGTCAGGCCTCGTTGCGCTAGCCAAGTACATCAATGAACCAATGATTTGAGAGTATCTCAGCTGATCCCTTACTATTCTTCGGTTTTTCCTTAATAGCACGCTGGGATCATAAGGAGTAGGAGCTGGCTTGCAGTCATTATATCCAAAGCGACTCAAAACCTTGTCCACATAGTGGGATTGCACAAGTGTAATCCCACCCTCATCTCCTCTTTGTAGTTTGATGTTAAGAATAACATCAGCCTCTCCCAAATCCTTCATTTCAAAATTCTTGGACAGATAGTCTTTGACCTCCTCAATCACATTAAGGCTGGTCCCAAAGATCAGTATGTCATCGACATATAAGCACAAGATCACCCCTTCTCCCCCACCATAGCGATAGTATACACATTTGTCAGCTTCGTTCACAACAAAGCCTGCAGATGTAAGCGTGGTGTCAAACTTCTCATGCCATTGCTTAGGTGCTTGCTTGAGGCCATACAAGGATTTCAATAGTTTACACACCATTCCCTCCTGACCTTCTAGTACATACCCGTCTGGTTGATCCATATAGATCTCCTCCTCCAGCTCTCCGTTTAGGAAAGCTGTCTTAACGTCCATCTGATGGACGAGAAGACCATGAGAGACTGCCAGAGCAAGTAGTACTCGAATCGTGGTCAAGCGAGCAACTGGTGAGTATGTGTCGAAGAAGTCCTCGCCTTCCTTTTGGGTATAACCCTTGGCCACAAGCCTTGCCTTGTACTTTTCGATTGTACTATCAGGCCTAAGCTTTTTCTTGAAAACCCATTTGCATCCTACGGGCTTGCACCCATATGGACGCTCAACGACTTCCCAAGTACCATTAGACATAATCGAGTCCATTTCACTGCATACTGCTTCCTTCCAGTAGTCAGCGTCAGGAGATGAATATGCCTCTTCTATGGTTCTTGGGGTGTCATCCACGAGGTATACAATGTAGTCATCTCCAAAGGATTTTTCAACCCTTTGTCTCTTACTCTTGCGAGTATCTACAATGTTGTCCTCCTCAGGATTTTCCTCAGGCGTTTGATCATTGTGTTCTATCGGTGCAAAGTGCTCATGGGGCATGACAGTTTCTTTACTAGAAGTGCTAGGTGTATATTTCATAGGAAATTCATTCTCAAAGAATGTAGCATCTCTGGACTCAAGAATTGTACCAACATGTATGTCGGGTACTCCAGAGTTTACTATTAAGAATCTATAACCCACACTGTGGATAGCATAACCAAGAAACACACAATCAACAGTTTTTGTCCAAGTTTCCGCTTTTTGGCTATAGGTACATTTACCTTGGCCAAACAGCCCCATGTTCGTAGGTATGAGAGATTTAATTTCTTCCTTTCCCATTCCTCGAATGGTGTTACTTCCTTATGCTTCATTGGAATTTTATTCAGGACATGACACGCAGTCAAAACTGCCTCACCCCACCATTCCTTGGAAAGCCCCGCAGTGTCTAACATGGCATTCACCATCTCAGTTAGAGTACGGTTCTTTCTTTCGGCCACCCCATTTGATTGGGGTGAATAGGGAGGCGTCATCTCATGAATAATTCCAAACTCTTCGCAAAAGGATGCAAACTCATTGGAAAAATACTCCCCACCTCTATCAGACCTCAACCGTTTGATTTTCCTTTCAAGTTGGTTTTCTACCTCAGCTTTATAGATTTTAAAGCAATGCAATGCCTCATCCTTTGTTTTCAATAGATACACATAGCAAAATCTAGTGCAATCATCTATCAGTGTCATGAAATATTTCTTTACCCCTTTAGTCAACACGCCGTTCATTTCGCACAAATCGGAATGAACA